TTTTTGAAGTGCTGTAAACACAAGCTAATTTTTGTATCATGGTGCACCTTATTAAGATAGTACTTTGGTAGATTCCCCGTATTGAAAACTTCAAATACAGTTTCCGTCGTTCGACTGTAAAAATAACATTTAACTCGAGGTCAGACAGTAAGCTACTAGTTGTTTTGTTGTTTACGGTCTCCTGCTCCTCCACAGGTCCATAAACTGACCCGGAGTGTGTCGCGTGAAGAGGAACACACAGCCACAAAGCCGAGTGGAATCAAACCGCCCATAAAGCTCAAGAAGAAATTAAGGAAAGGTACGGTGCCTCAAAACAACCTGCAGCTCCTCCGAGAGACCCAGAAGTTTAGAAACCACCTAAAACAAGACGATATCTCTTGGGAAACATGAGGTTTTCCGGATTTTTCTGTGCTGCATTTGACACGATGGATAAAACTGCCCYGCTCCCTCCAGCCCGGGTGAGACTTTAGTACTAAATCAAACATGTATTGAAGTGATTTACGGGACTTGATTTATCATAAAACCTATGAAGTGTTTGAGTAAGATTTGCACATTCAGGGTTTATTAAATGAACTTTGATCAAAATCATTGAGGAGCTTCAAGTCTCATCTCAAATTAAGCTGGAATATTAGATGTTATATTTTTTATTAAAGCACTTCTTGGATAAATATTTTTGCTTACCTGGGTGTAAATGTATAWTTGACAGTTCTATTTTTGGAACTTCCCAACAGCAGCCGCTAGATGACACCTGTTAGATGTCTGAAGATTTGTTTAGAGCATAATGAAGTTAAATGAAAAGATTTTATTGCTTTTGTGAGTTAAGTAGGTAGAGTTTGCTCTGTATAAGTAAGAGGAACTGCTTTTCTATGGAAGGTTTTAAAGTGGTCACCCATTTTTTTTTTTGTCAAATCAGATGACAGGACATTTTTTCTGCGTTCCTGTTTTTTGCTTCTTTTTATCGTAGTCGAGTCAGCAGCCATTTATGGGCTGAACAATGACGCTCGTTTCCCTCCACATTCCTGAATTTATCTTCTCATTGTCAACATTTCATCATCTCCTAATCTCAAGTGCTTACTTTACCACAAATTACCAAACAAATCCTCTCGAGAGGTTTCCAAAAGTCTGGATATGTAGTAGGAAAGACAATAGACATCTGTTAATGTAGATATCTGCGTTAAAATTGTTGTGACGTTAGCATTTTTGCGCTCCTGGTATTCTCGGCGTAATTCAGAGGTTAAATAGAGCGAGCTGATTTTTCCAGGAGAGGCTGAATCTAAATGCATTGTTTCTCTGTGCTTCCAACGATTAGATTACAGAGCATGACTGGACACTACAATCAGGTTAGCCAAGGCAGCAGAAGATCCTCCCGGTGCCCTCTTATAGAGCATGCATGTGTGCACACTCCTGACCCTGCAACTGTGAAACCTTGTGACTGCTGCACATTGTCTTTGAATGGCAGCAGTGTGCTCAGAAAGGTAAACAAGAATCAGACGTTTTGCTGCGAACGTGTTCAAAGTTTGGACGACAGGAGCGAACGAGGGTTTTCCTGGCACACMGTCTTATTTTTATGACATTAAATGAAAATCTTTAAGGGAAATCACAAAGTAGCCTCTCCAGGAAGTTTGATAAAAGTTAATGGCTCATTTTTCTTAGWGAAATGCTGAGAATGAGGATCTTTAACAGGTTAGGACAAGTTTTAACAATCAGCAGCATAAATTTAGTGTTGCAGGGTTTGTTTTTTTTTTTCCTTTTTGAAAAGAATATTTAGTTCTGAATCTGAATCAAACAGATCAAATAAGTACAGGACAGAACAAACGCCTCATGAGATCACTGGTCTGAGTACACACACTTCCTTTGAGATAAGGTTTTGCAAATTGTGCACAACTTGTGACTGTTCTCATTTTGTTCCTGTAAACATTTGCAAACAGCTGCAGTAAAATTTTTGTATTCCCTTTTTCTTTCTTTGTAAATATTTTTGCATTAATTGTTTTTTTATGTTACGATACTTTGTACAGTATTCCATTTTTCAGGTTATTATGTCTAGGGTTTTCCTGTTGAGGGACAAATAAAGGGTTTTTGTATATTTTCAAAGATTTCTGCTAGTTTGTTTCTGCAGAAAACAAGAGAACATATCTGATACAGTACAACAATCAATATCTTTAGTTTCTGAACAGAAGATGAACCAAAGCCTCTTATTCTAATTTTTTTGATTTCACAACTCTAGGTTGGTAATCTTTGTTTTTTGTGGACATACCTGATTCAAGTCAGGATCACGATACAAGTCAAAACGTCACTAAAAACTGTTGATAAAGCCTGCAAACAGGGCAGAAACAAGGACAGACTGAATAGGAAATTTAATCTATTAAAATCCATTTATTAAGAYGACCATCCTAGTTCAGTTAAAATTTACCTACATGGAAAACATGCTTGCTTCACTTTCTCTTCAACAAGTGAATCTGTTGACTCGAGGATACGTTTCAKCGAAAAGAAAGAATCGCTGGAACCCGATCCTTCACCTTTTGTTATTGGGGCAGCTGTAACCACGACAGCAAAGCCCCGCAAGAGCATCCATTTCCCCCGCTTATGTAAATCAAAAACGCTCAGAAAGTTAGAACTGGCGTCAAATAAAAGAGCTGACACAGGGATTCGTTTAACAATATTTAAACTTTTTATTGGTTTAACATTGTAAAACTAAAGGCAACACCAGAAAACAAGGCCGAAAAAAAGAGGAAAAAAAAGTAAAACAGAAGCACAAAAGAAGCAAAGAAAAGTCAATATGAAGAATAAAACATTTTAGGAGGCATTGTGGCACTGTCAAGTGTCTACTTATGGCTGTGTGTGTTTGTATGTCGAAGAGGGCTGAGAGGAAAGCCAAAACTCGTACCAACAATCCTAATGGGCACTAAAAGGGTAAAAGTTACAGCACTGCAGTGTGTGCACTTCAGCTATTAAGTCACAAGGCAATAAAAAGGACGGAGCCTGTACTCGATCTGAACACTGAGAGGCTGAGAAGTGAGACATGGCCAAGCACGTGGGAATTCACAACTTCAAAATTTAAAAACCAAAACAAGACGTCCAAAAGATGCAACGAAGGTGGAGTTCAAGTCATTCGGTGTGGCAATAAGAGAAACACTAGAGGTCTGTGGTTCCATCACTTCCAGTGAGTTTCATTACAAAGAGGTGATGCGAAGCTCCTCAGGCTACGACCGTCATCTAGCCCAAACATTTACCCTTCATTTGAGTCGGGTCTTTAAATGGTACGTTGGATCTTAACCCATTTCATCTGGCCACACACATATCGCCCGAGCAGCTTCTCACTTGCAGCAGCTGTGGTTTTGATCAAAAAGTTAAGGCTGAGCATGACGAAGCACACATTTAAGCAGAACACAACGTAGAGCCACTTCACGGGGGCCTAAAAGTGCTGAGTATTTAAGTTTAAATATGGCGTTTTTTTGTTGTTTTTACAACTGTATGTGGATACGAACTGAATAAGGCACTTATCATCGAGAGGTGCGCAGACTGAGTTAATTTGAAGCTGAATCTGGAGAGATGCAACACGACGGAGGTCGGGAATCCTTGAGTACAGATGGTGTGACTCGATGAATGCAGCGCGCTCAACAGCTAATAACACTCGGAATACGTCTCAGTTTGTGTGAGAGATTCCACATGCAGAAAAACGGCGCAGCTAAGGTCGAAGTCTGGAGCCAAACTGCTTGTGTCTTTGGGCTGCAGGTTAGGAGTGTAAAACTAAAGCAGAAATCATGCAATCCCCCCCMAAAAAACTAAAATAATACAAGCAAAAACAATTTGCATTCAATAAACTCTTCATCTTTGTCATAATTAATGTTCAAGAGTATTTATACAAGCATTCTTTTTTCTTTGAGCTGAACCATGAAAAACATTTACAAAAGATAAAGTTACAAAACAAAGCTCGTCAGTGCAACGCTCACTCCATGCCAAAACTGAGGACTTTGGCTTAATGCACACTGTTTCAAGGCATTCTTTCAATTAGCATAAGGGCTAATCACAAATAATCAAGTGGTTCTTGTGTATAGAGCATATGCAATGACAGAGAAATTAATTACAATTTCCAGGCATTCAGCATGCAATAGTAGAGGGACGGAGAAAAGACGACGCTACAAACAAAATGCTCTGCTTCTCATTTCACTTTTCCTTCAGCAGAAATCTGAAAGATGAACAAAAATAGGAAAATGGCTATATACAGGATGGACAAAGTTGTGGGGAAAAAAAACAAAACAGGGAGCTGATCAGAACATGAACTTCACAACCGTTTTGCAAATCAGAATTTCGTTTACAATGCAGATTAGAGAAGCTGAAACCAGCAATCAAAACCATTTTTCTCCTAAACGCGCTCAAATATTCAGAATTATAAATTAAGTCCGATATTCCTACCATTTCTTTTAAAAAAACAGGTTTAATCACCTACGACAAAATGTTCTTCCAGTCTGATTTAACAGTTTATACATCCGAACTAAAACAGAGGTGGGAGAAAAAAAATTAGCGATGCTGCGAAAAACAGACGGCATTTTAATAAATTATTCCACAGTCGCCAGTGGGATGGTCCTAGATTTATCTGAATTATTTCTACCTGCTGTACCTTGAGAATGAATGTAATGGCCAACTGTATCCTGCAATAATAAACTGTTCTTAACTGCAGCCATCAGCAGTATGGACACTGCAATACTGGTGCTTTCTTACAAGAAAAAATAAAATAAAAGACTCTGTGCTAACACCCAGAAGTGATAAATCTTTTTTTTTTTTACTCGCTTTCACTCACATCGGACATTAAAGGCACTTTACTGTCCACATCAAGAAAGGTGCATGCCATGTTTTTTTATCACTTCATCCTCTTTTCCACACAAACATTTCGCTCAGATTTTTTGAAATAGTCTACATTATTGACCTCCTTGAATTACTCAACAGATGAAAGGGCCAGCTCCACATTGGCAACCCAGAAGATTTAATGACCAGGACTGACAGCTGGGATATTTGTGGTTCTGAAATGAACTCGATACATGATTTATTGCATCGGGCTGCTATACGAGAAGGTTGGCGTTTTTAACATTTCAGGGAAAGTGAACAGCATAGCTCCCCTCAACGACAAAGGAGACACTCATCAAATATGGCTGACAACAGATGATTAAACATTGCTTTTATTCCCCTGCTCCATCTTTGAACTACACACAAAACAGAAGTGTGGAGCAGAAAACACAGATTTGACAGACTAAAAGCAATTTTTAATCATTAGTCGTCACATTTAAGAATAGCTCAAACAGTGTTTCCTTGTTATATTTATTTAAACTCAAAGATTAACAGGACAGCAACTCAACTCTCGTGGTGCATTTATCAGAGGAAGGCATGAGAAAAGGGGCTGTAAATAACACAAGCCCACTCGATTCGCTGCAGACTGACTAACAACTTGAGGGAGGTGGGGTGGGGGTTGCTAACAGATTACGTAATCCATACGCTCAAGACCTAAACGCCAGTCAAATGAAATCCGTAAAGTTGGAATTGAATCAATTTTTCACAGGAATAGCAGGTTAAAAACTCTGCGTAGAATCGAATAAAAGACGTTGGGAGAAATCTGCCTGGAAACACTGCCCGAGTCTACCCTCGTGAGTGAGAGCTAAGTGGGGTGGCTTTCTCTAAAAGGGTCTAGTTGGGCGAAGGAAAGACTGAACGACGTAGATCCTAACGTGCAGCCACTTCAAAGGGTGTGATAATTACGGTCCTTGGATTTGCAGAATTTGTAGAGGAAGAAGATGACGGCCTGCAGGCCTAAGACCAGAACTATCCCACCGATGAAGCTCGCAGCGTCAAACGTCGAGTTCTTGTGAGGCGGAAGTGCGGTGGTATTTGGCACTGGGAAACAAAAGCAGAATGGCGATCACGTGTTTTTGTTTATTTAGGTTACAAGAACAATTTAACGTCTATCGGGATTTTAGACTTACTTAAAGTGGTGGATGTGTTGCTGGGAGCCGGTGTGGAAACTGTTTGGAAAAAAAAGGGTCACATTAAAAAGGTCAAAATCATTACTTTTTATTATGTTGTCATAAAAAAACGTAAATTAAACTTTTACATCTAACAGCACATGTAAACATTACAAGATGTACATCAACTGAGTAAAATTTCATTTCAAACACACAGGACCCAAACCATTTCACCCACAACCACAAAAACAACAGGGCCTTAGAGCGAGAAGGTCCATTGTTGATTAGTCTGAAGGTGTCAGTGTGTGATTCACACCTGTTTCTCAGTTTATTCTTCTATATTTGAGTAAAAGCTACTCAGTGTTTTACCATCCTAAGACACTGTTTACACGTGAACCATCTCAAGAAACTTTAACTCTTTTCTGGTGTCGACTGTGAATAAGTTAACGTTTATATGGGAGTTCTATGTTTGTTGTAGTTTCAATGCCAGGCCAGTAGCTGGTGCTGTGATTTTTGTATTTCAGCTTAGATAAGGATGCATGATTTCTTTGAGACCTGGATTCAAAATGCTTTGTCAAGTAAAAGGTTGCTGTCGCGTCCAGACGGCTGAAACACAGCAAAAACCCAACAGTTTCAATAGAAAACGCCGTGAGAAAAATTCAGCAGCGTTGGTTGTAAATGTTGAGTTTCTACTATAATTAAGTGCTAATAACAGAAGCTGTTCTGGCACGCTTACAATGCTCATCAGAACTACTTGTATGCATGTTTTGGGATTCAACCATGAACCAGAAACTTTACAGAGTGATGGGTCTACAGCCATGACCAAATACACTGAACAGCACTCAGTGACAGAAGACTGAAGTCCACCAGACCAAAAAGGACCTCTGGGTACGAAGAATGACCACCAGGGTTTGTCATTCCTCTCGTGATTACAGGGTTGTGCCCAATGAGTCATACAGCTGCATTCAGAGGGAGAACATCTGGTGCCAACGTACCAAACTGCACCAAGAAATATTGGTACAAGTGTAACTAATACTTACCTCCAAACTTATTCTACAGATTCTGTCTGTTGTCAAAACTAAACTAAAGTAAAACTGCAGTCTTGCCATATAGAGTACGACCAAACCTCTTTACTTAGAATTAAGTTAGTATCTTACTGGGCTGCATTTGTTGGTAGCTAACTCGCAAACAATATTCACAAGGTCTCCATATGAGATTGACATTACATTAAACTTACTACCATCCACAACACACACCACATGTAGTTTTTAGTTTTTACGACAACGRTTACCTGAGGTATTGGTGTTAGAGGTGGTGGAAACAACAGGGACACGAGAAGTCATTGAAGAAGCAGGAGTTGGAGCCTCGGTGGATGCGTTTGTAGCTGGACAGAGAACCAAACCCAAAGACACCGTGTACAAAAGGAAGCAAGATAAAAAAAATAAAATAAAAAAAAACACCCAAACAACAAATTTAGGGACAACAGATTAAAAGACCCAACTGCTCAAACTGATTCAACACCTCAGTGGGGGAATAGTTAGACCTGTACAGAATCAGCAGAGAATTAATAAGCTTATCATTGAAAAATATGTTTTTGTAATCCAATATAGAGCCTGCTGATTCTCTCAAGGTCTAAAAGAACATGTTAATAAAGAAAGTTAAACTCAGCTTTTGCCTTTAGACCTGTTGAGATATTATACTTACACGAGCAGCTAATGATGTCGCAGGATTCATTGCTGAAAAGAGTTATGTTGCGACAATTAGGCTGTGCTGAAAGACACAAGAGTAGGAATAAATACGGAATTAGAAATAAAACATTATTTATATTTTATGTATATATTAAAATAGACAGTTATCTTGATAAAAGCTCCATAAAGTCAAATAAGATAGATCTATCCCAAATATAATTATCTAAAGCAATGACTCTTTTCATATAACATGCTATGTCTATATAGAGCAGCATGAAAAAAAAAATGATTTGATCAAAAATCATTATATATAAAATTAAAGTAGTAGAACAAGTTTTTCCTGATGTCCTCTACAAGAAGGTCAGAGCTGCTGCTCATATAGACAACAGTTGGAAGGTATCCTGCCTGATTGCATGGGATTACTTTTTGAGGAGAGGCACGCTGTAATAGCTAATTTATAACAATTTATTTTAGCCAAAACACACAGGATAGAGCACTGAAAACAACGAAGGGGTGAAAAAGTATCAAGACTAGTTTACAGAAAAATCAAACTACTAAGAATTTATTTTACAATGTGACAGAAAAATAAGGTTGTCACTACAAAAAAAAATCACTGATGATCTTGTTGCTTTTCAAGAACATCTAGTCACAAATACAGAACAAAAAATGTACAAGGCAACATTCAAATGTTTTTATTTTACTCATGTTTCAGGAGTATTTTTGTCTTGGATGAGCTGCGTCTTAATGTCAACTCTGTACAGCACTTTGTAGTGTATTTAAAAAATATATAAAAAATTGGATTACATTGTGTGAAACAAAGATTTTGAGTGCAGTTAACTCTGACTCAAACTGGTTATGATTACTCAATCACAAATCAAATGGTCCAGTCTGAGCACAGAGAACTAAAATACCGTTATGACTCAGACGGTACATTTATCGTTTAAACCAGTGATTATCAACTTTTCATAATGAATACAAACTTGGAAATGATAAACAGCCCCAAGTATCACCATTATGACAATCTTGAACTTGTAACTCAAACCTAAAAACCAAACCAGGTTTTTTATCCTGAGCTGTTGCCATCAGGGAGGGGGCCACGGTGTAAGACCACCAGACTGAAACTGTCATTTGTTCCAGCTTCAATCAGACTGTTCAACTCCAGCAACAGTCTTCTTTCTGTGACACATTATTTAGCACTTTACCAGGTTGCATTTGCAGCTAATACCTTATACAGTATTGAACCTTTTACTTGTGTTGTTCACTGATGTTTTGAGGTAGAGTTTTTATCTCCTTGTGTGTTGTTTTAACTTTTTTTATTATTTATAATTGTGTAGCACTTGCCCAAGACAAATTTCCTGCGAGGGACAATAAAGTATATTCCATTTCATCCCAAGCTTAACCCTTCAACAAACCCAGCTGGTAAAGCGACACACACCAAGATCTGATCACGCTCGGCTGATCCAACCTTAAGGTGTAAAGGACAAAACACTCGTTGAACTCAAGGTCCACAACTAAGGAGGACTTTCAAAATTTYAGCAACAAACAAAGACTTTTTGATTGTCAAAATGATTACATTTATTGAGCAATCTTTACCTTTTAATGTTTAGGCTGAACAGGGATGAGATCTTGCCTTTGACTTCCAACTTTAAAACTGTTTTTTGGTCATTGGACTGATTTTACCTTTACTTTTATATTTACTTTTGTGCCAGTGTATTACCCTGGTGGGATGCCATGCTTTATTTGCCCCCTCCCCAGCCAGGCTAAGCATTGTTAGTTTATTTAAAGCCAGTGGAGATTGTGGCAACAGGATAAGTGGCTCGGACCTAGCATTATCAATGTGGCGCTCCGCCATGCCGCTAACTCCCACCACGTTAAAAAAAATTAAATAAAAATGATGCACTACCACTACTCCACACCAAAATAAATAAAAAAAAMCAACAAATCCAATAATTTACAAACTCCGATTTGAGACTAAATAATGTAAAATCTATTTTAAAACAGTTCAACATTTAGTATATATTAGCAACATGATTATTTTGTTTTGTAATAATTGTAAAGCAAAACTACCTTTGTCAGACAAAACTACAAAAGTTAAAAGAATCTTTATATAAAACCAGTAAGAAACATTTTCATTTTGTAGTTATTTTATGTCTTTAAATCRCTCTGGAACAATACTAACATATTTTTAAGTAAAGATACATTATATTTCACAAAAACTTAGTATATTTATTTGGGTCTTTTTGTGTATTCAGTTTGGTCTTTTTGTGTATTCAGTTTGATGAGTCAAAAGGTAAAACATCAATCTGTATAATTTATTTCTGTATATTCTGGTCACTTATTAACCCTGACAGGAGACTTTGCCCTGACATCTGGTCTAACCTGTGCCAATTAGATATTAGGATAGGAAAGAAAGACATTACAAATATTCTGTTTTATACTAGGTTCTCTCTTTTTATTTTTAAATAAACCTACAGAAATTCCAGATATTTGATCAATTTGAGTCAGTTTCTTGGTGTGTCATGACGATAAAGACAATGAATCATTGTGACGGTCCGCATCTTGTGACGGTGCATTCTTTTCACACACAGTTATTGTGCTACATAAATTCGACAAATTTTGGTCAAGTTTAACGATGAGCACAAATACCCGATATTGGCCAGATCCTAATCAAAAATGCTGCTGCAAATACCAGATTCTGATTCCTTGTTATACCAGGTATGCTAAACAATAAAGGTTGTTCTACAAAGTAAATGGCTATAACTGTAAAACAGTTTTTTTTATGAACTGKTGACTAAAAACTGAATATTTTGAAACTTACTGGACCTGACTGTATGTATATAAGGAGGGAGTAAAAGCTCACATGTGTACCATAGCTGCATTTAGCTTTTGTTACCACAAATCTGGCTTTACAGGTCCCACAACTAAACAAAGTGGGAGAAACGTTGCCTTTAGAAACAGGTAAATATGGTGACARTGAAGACAATTACATGCTTTTAGCTTGTGAGAAGAGCTCACTCTTAATTTTATTTATAAAAACATATAGAGATGTTATCACCCTGAATACAAGAACACCATAAAGATAATCGTTCCTACTTTCTATCATGCTTTAAAATGCCTGTCAACACCTTTGCTGCATTTCATCTGATAATCCAGAAACCTAATGACTCCCACCAGATGGCTTCCCATAAATTAMAAATACACCAACTTTAACACAAAGCAAGGCTTGCAGTTATTGTTGAAAGCATCCTTTGGCTGTGTCCAAATAAGGTCAAAAATGACTCAGTGGCTTGTGTTAGATTTTCCACCACTCACAGGGCTGTGTTTCTTGGTTACTGCATCAGGTTATTCGTGTATCCAGCATTAAATACAAGCATCTATGAAGCACCAGCAGCTCTGTCATAATTATTAGTTTGTGGAGCTCATGATTCTAGATTCTATTAGGACTGTCCGTTTGCTGCCGCTTCAGTTATGTGAGGCATTTGGTAGCTATTCAGTTAGAGGTCTATTGCTGCCATAAAGCACAGACCTGCCAGCACAGTTACCATCTGCCTGTGCAGCTTCACCTCTTTATGATGCAGGAACTSATCACTGCTGCATTACACGATTTAGTCGAATCGTCACAACTGGACACGAAGAGGAAAAAAAGARTAAACCGTCTTATACTGTTAAAATTGTACAAGTGAAACCTTTATAAGATGCAAAACTAATTGTCTTTTTYACTGTGATTTGCACTCAGAGTCAATAAAAAGCCAAATTAGAGGTTATTTTTGCACTGTACACACACATATCTTGTTATGACACTACAGAGGTTGAACTATATGGATAAAGGCTATTTTCCATCTCCATTAGGTCACAGGGATGCTATCTCGCAGGCAGCTGTAAAAGTTAGGACTCGCTCTCACCCTTTGTCAAGATGGTGACATTATTATCACCACGCTGTACATCAACCCCTGCTGTCCAGCCTCAAGTTTGCAAAAACACAGCCTCCGAGTTAAAAAAAAAAAAAACACTTAAGAAGCTTCATCATTGTGCAGTGTGTTCGAGGCAAAACAAAGCTTTGGTGTACACGTGTAAGGTTTATGCAGGCAACGGTGCTTGTTTACAGAAAATCCCTAAAACCAAACATAAATCCGATGACAAAGTTGGCTAGCACAGCGCTGTGGTTACACTTAAGCTGTCTCAACAGTCAGAGCTGACCTTTCCAGTTTCAGCCCAGTTTTTTTCAAAGATGCGAACCACTCCACATGGCTGTTTTTCTTCAGCCTGCCATTATGCTGATTCTGCAAATAGGAGTTGCTTTTTCTGGTGTGCAAGGTCATGTTTTATGTAGATTCAGGGAAATGCATTACTCTTATCTTTATTTGTTTTATAGACTAGAGTTTAACAAAAAGATTAAAACTTCAAAAAGTTCGATATGTAGTACCAGTCAAATTTTTGGACACAATCATTAAATGTTATGAAAAGGTGTGTCCAAACTAGCAGTGTATACGTGTTCAAACTCTAAGTCTGTATAAAGTCAGCCTCCTAAACACAACACACTACAGCAAAAGCAGGTTGAGCTTCTCCCTAAAAAAAAAAACAAAAACCTACCCATCTCGTCTTACACGCCTCTGAAAAAGAGGCCGATAATCGTAGTCTTGCTTGTCCTGCTCAGCCACTCGATAAATCACTGAGTATTCTATCATCAAAAACTCATTTAACGTAACAGAAAGCAGGAGGTGAGTGTGTGGGAAGAAAACATCCTAAATAGCCTCTTTTTTTCCCCTCTTTGGAAGAGACTCAAAGCTTTTCAGTGGAGAGGCTGTCAAATAGGTCAGCTCTAATGACGGTTAAAATAACCATTCCTGTTGTACAGGTGTTTCAAACGGTTACAGGTGTTGAATTTACTGGATTCATATTGAAGATTACTGATGTAGCAATACCTTTTTTTTAATTTAAGCCCAAAAAGGGATAAATCATGTGAACAATAAATAAACTTGTAACATTTGCCATTATAAATTTTTTATAAAATATTAAACTTTTTTAACGAATACCAAAAAGGTGTGGATTATGTTAAACTACACACATCTGCCATAAAATACAAGCTTTTATTAAATACTATGCTCCCCACCAACAAACAAGGCTTTTATATCAAACTTAACTTCTTTCTGAACAAATCTAATGACCTGATAAAAGCGTGAAAACAAGTAGCTCCTCTAAAAACCCAACGAACACCATCAGGGGGTGAAGGGATGCTGTTAACAGAAAGCCGTTGGTTGATCTTAGAAACAATCAGTCAGGCAGTTTTGTTTTGGCAAGCCCCTATAACCCAATAATGCATACCTCTAACCACAACCAGCAGACTCCCAAATTAGGTTAAAAGAAAACTCCCACAGCCCGTTTCCAGGCTGCTGTTCTACACTGCAGATGTGTGATTTTTTTTTTATATATCCAAAGTACATGCGCTTTAAATAAGTTTGTATCTCCATATTCAAATTACATAACCAGAGCGAAGACATCTTTTTCACAATCTTAAAATGATCCACTGCTTTGACTTCTACACAAACAGTTTTCATTAGATAAAATTCAAAAGGAAGGGACAACTTAAAGGGGCAATATGTGTTTCTCAGGTATATTTTTAAATACTATGCCATAATAACGTATCTATGTCACCTTTAGCTGTTATTAAAATGCTGTTTTTATGTTTAAATAGAAAATAAACTTATCTTCTCATCACTTCCTCTTCTAAACGCCTTGAAATTGGCCTCTGTCTCTTTAAGAACCACCTTCTGCTTCTGTCTCGCCAGGGGCGGGGGCTGCCATGATGCAATTTACTTGGCATCTAAAAATACTTTTCCTCAAAAGGTATTTTTAATCTGAAAAGATCTTCACTGAGTGAGAACTAATGTTGAAAGCTCACTTTCACCGAGAGCCTGAGGGAGTCATGGCGGGGGTGTGTGGGAAGGATGTGCGCTCCGCCATGAGGAAGTTTGGCTTAAAGACACGCTCCAGAGGTGTTTCTGGTACCAAAAGGCATTTCTGGTCCCCACCTGTCGTTTTGCTCCTCAGCATGGCTTCCTAAAAACGCTGCAGGATTTCTTAAACATGCATGGATGAGTCAAAGCAAGGCTTTGGGCATGTTTTTTTATGAGAGTATAACATTATAACATGATATAATACACGATATTGCCCCTTTTAACTGTATTTTCCTGTACATTTTATACTAAAGTTATTGTATATTCTTCACTACTTATGCTATTAGACAAAAAAATTACTTTGCAACAAAAATATTTCCATTTGTTTACTAAATTTTGTGCCTGAAGTAAAAAAAGGTTAAAAAAATGGTGCAAACAGAAAACAAAGAATTCCATTTGTTAGCTTCACCCAGCTTCATTTAAAAGCAACTATTCTAACAAATGTGCATAGTTACTTCATCAATCCCCAATATTTGTGATCAAGCCTAAAACAAACAAAAATCAACTGCATAATTCATGTCAGCCTTGGCTTGTTGCCCAAAACGTACTGCTTTATGAGCTTGTTAAGATCTACAGCCCTGTGAGCGGTGCCGCCACAAGATTTCAGTGCGGTTCAGGACTTCTTTCAAGCGATCAAGATAATCACCTTCCCTCACTTCCAGGAATCTAGTGTTCAATAACCTCTGCCATCTGGAAAAAAATTTAAGTCACTTGAAGAGCAACTGTGTGGCTCTGGTTTTAACGTTGGGCTTCATATTTAAGAGGTACTTACACGTTGACGTGCAGTTGACCCACTGACAGTCAGTTTTGTTTACACATGTCTCACAGGACAGAGCGTCACATCCATCTAAAAAGAAGAAACCAGATTAAATTCTGCTCAGTTGTAAATAAAAGGACTTTCACACCAGGGAAAACCTACATCTGTGCTTCCAGAGCCTAAACAAACACATATAAATGAGTAACCCAACCCTAACAATTCTTGAATATGTACAAGGATGTGTACCAGCTGTTATTATTTTCTTCACTTTAATTATTAGGCTGTGTCCTGACTGTTTTTATTTTTCATTTACTATTTATTTTTTTCCTTGTTATGCAGTAAATTATATTCAAATTGAACAGAACACAAGGCAGGATCTATATTAATCACAGCGATTACAATTTAATGCAATTCTGCTTCATAAGCTGCTCTGGTCTTTCAAACCTGATTAATTATAATTTGTGCCCATAATTTTCTCAGTTTATATTACTTGTGACATCACTGTTACAGACAACGTTGCACAATTGTATCATTTAAGACGTTAGCAGGAAATGGCAGCTCCAGCCTCGCTTCTTTGGCTAAAATATCAGTAAAGATTATAAAGTTGCCCAAAGACGAATATTTTTATAAATTCGCTAAAATGAGGGAAACTATCAAAACTGACTGGAGTGAGCAGACGTCACGGGAAGCCACACAGGCGGATATGAGTCCGACTACGACGCCCGGGCAGCAATTAGCCGCTAGCTGAGCGGTGGGAGGTCGCAAAAACTTACCTGAGTCTGTTGTGACTGCCGCGCTAATGAGCGCCAGAGCCGCGGCGAAAAACACCACCTTCAGGTACATGACTGCGGCCGACTTACAGCTCAGACTTCACGGAGGGGAGAGAAACGAGACACACGGACGTTTCTGCGAAGAAACCTCGAGAGAGACAAAAAAAATATTGTTTCACGTCGTGCGCTGCTGGTGGCTGTTGCTGTTCCTGCCCGCTGCTAGCTCGACACTTCCTACTCAGCCGAGTCATGTGGCGCTTCTTAAGGGAGGGGTGCAAAGAAATCAAGCGTGCGCGAGCAGTCAACACGTCATAAGACAGGAAACACAAAAGTATGGCAAACCGTTGTAGCACATAATAAAACCACACGCCCAGCTCGTACGTGTTTGTTTAAAAGAAAGATAAAAAAAAATAAGTTTGTTAAAGAAATATGAAACTGTATAATGTATATCTAA